AAGTTTGCTAACTTTGTATGCTCTCTTTATGAGTTGGTTGGGGATGTTTCTTGGAGGAGAGAGAGGGCTTTTTGGGTGGAATAACATGTCTACAAAAGAGGAGAGCCAATTCTGAAATTCTGGCAGCAGTGAAGCTCGATTTTGATTGCCACTTTTGACCCAGAAAGCTCGAGATCTGGATTTCCATTATAAAATGGCATATTTAGAGCTCTGAGTTAGCTTTCTAAATCTTCAAATGGTTTGTCATTCGGAGCTCGGAGCAGAGAGTTATGGCCTTGTTACCAGAGGTGCGCAGAACTGCCTGGCAACAATGAAATTCTGCCTTGATCTTCATTTTCGACCAACCATACTTGAGAATTGGATCTCCACCAAAACATGAAGTATTTAAAGCTCTGAATTAGCTCTCCAAATATTCAAACGGTTCATCATTCGGAGTTCGGAGCGCAAAGTTATGGCTGTTTAACCGAAGTAGGTCTGGGCGGAGCAAGGCAAGAATGGAGCATTCTGCTCCAATTTCGAGTGCTCGAGCCCTTATTTCGAGTGCTCGAAATTAGGGCAGAATTGCATCCGGAAATGGCCCATTTTCAGCCACTTGCATCTTGGCTTCCTCAATTCTAATTTCCCTCTTTAATGGTTGGTTGGAGATGTTGGTTGGTGGGGGTTTCTAGAGCCTTATCTCTAGAAGATAAGAGAGGGAAGCCACACAATACATTAAGCTTCATTCTACAAGATTAAAGGAGAGAGAAGAGAGCAAGGGGATAGAGTTCTTCAAGCTTGAAGAAGGGAGCACGAAAATGGAGGAGGTCTTCAAGCTTCTTCCTTCTTCCATTGCTCCTATGGGTAACTAAATCTTCTCTAGGGAGGTGATGAAGCCTCCTCTTTTGATCATGTTCTAGATTAGGCTATACTTTTGGGGACTATAATGTATAATGTATGGTAGTTTTATAGTCTTAGAGTATATTCCTTCTTGTAATGAATTTTAATGTGTAAATGGTTGATGTAAGTTCATTGTCATATCTTTGATGATTCTTGGATCAATCTTATTGCTTTTATTTTCATAGTGACAATGAAAATATAGACTATGAATGTTTTTCAAGGCATGTTGATTTTGAAACTTGATATTCCATTGCTTAGGTACCTCCTTTGATGGGTTATACTTGATTCCTACCTTCATGTGCTTCACCATTTGATTGAAAGCTTGATGGTCTTTTGCTTGAGATAGTGTATTTGATTCTCCACCTTAGTTTAAGTAGTTCAACTATGGTAGCTTTTGATGGATCATTCTTGTTTTGATTAAGTGAACTTCTTGATGATTATTAAGCAACGGAGTTGCTTCATATTTCTTGACCATTGCATGTATGCTATTTATCCCCAAATTTAGACCTAATCTAGCATGTACTTAGGGTGTAGTGTGGATTCATCTCCCTAGTATTCTCTACTTGCATTTCACCTCTTTACATTCCTTGCAATCTACTAGTTTATGTATATTTACATTTCTAGTTTAGTGACAAACAAACAAACCCTTATTACCCCTTATCATTCTAAGAATGATTCTAGACATTTAGGTTGCCTTAGACTAGCGCAGTCCCAGTGGTTCGACTTACCCGACCAATAGCCCTATTTTACAATGATTCGTGCTATTGCGAAGGTTGATGTTTAATTGACCAACCGATCAGTACTCATACCCACTCAGGTGCGATTTGTGTGATGCATTCTATTCAGGTTGAGACCCTCTTCATAGTCTAGCGAGAGTCCAGTAGTGTGGATATATATTTATGTATGGACTATTAGCTATTGTTGAACTATTTAGTATGTACATGCATATCGGGTCTCTGCTTGGATTGCAGTAGGATAGAACTTGTTCGTGGGCCTGACCCACTCCTATTTTTCAGGTGTACGTCAGTTCCATGCTTGAGCTTGTTCATGCTGAGCAGAGACGGTCACTCATTCTTCCGACGATGTAGGATCTCTTTCTAGATGTTCGACTTGGATTTTATCTTCAGTTTTACTTTAATTCAGTTTGGGATTTTTATATTAGGGGTCCACTAGAGATGGATTCCCGAGTTGTTAAAAGATTGGAGATTTTGGATTGTAGGATTTTAAGTTATTAATATTTTAAGGTTTTTATATTGAGGATTTCTTTTATAGTTTCTTTTCGCTTATTCTTTTATTTCTTAAATCATTTTTGTAATCTGTGTTCGTTTAAAATACTTTAATTGTTTGGTACTCCTTGGTTCTGTGCTCGGACTTGATCTCCCGTGACTCTAGAATCGAGGGGTATCACAATGAAGGGCAGAGGAAGTTAGGTCATCAGATTACCACTGATGTTTGTTTTTAGAGTTGTGATTCTATGGGAGTATGTATTGCAGACCTACACTCTTTTTTATAGATCATTTTAGTTGGTTGAGCTATCTTTTGTCCATTTTATGTCTTTTAAAACTTAAGGCTGTTCCTTTTGTTTCTGTGACATTCTGTCTTTTAAGCCTTAGGCTATGTTTGATACGGCGACAATGAAAAGAAATGATAACATTAGTTATGAGGGAAGGGAATGAAAGGGAAGGGAAAGATAATTTTAACCTCTTATCTTGTTTGATTGATTAATGAAGGAAAAGAAAGGGAAGGATAATAATTATGTTTGGGAAAAGAAAGGGAAGGAAAGTATTTTCGTAAATTTACTATTTTACCCTTTTATATTTAAAAAAATAAATTTATGGGCCTCAAAATTTATAGGCCCATGGATGATAGGCCACCAGAAAAACAAATATATTTTTAGGGCAAATAATTTCAGCCTTCGCCTCCATTTCTATTCTCGTTCTCAACTCTGAACTTGCCCTCTCTCTTTTTCTCTCTCTCTCTCTGCAACTGCAAACTACAAAATCTACAAGAATCAGAAGTTCAAAACTTATATATTTCAGAACCAACAGTGAAGTAGTTAGGTCTGACGACTTCTATGAGTGGTGAGGAGGTCTGGTCAACCACAAAATTGAAATTAGCTCCATCCATGTACCTATCTGCCATGTTTGATTCATCGCCAGACTGAACTTCGCCGCCCACTCGCCTTCACGAGCACATGCGAGTAAATTTAACACGTCTTTCATGCGCACACGTGCCCCTTCTTCTTTGGCGACTGCAATTCTGCCCTCAACATCAACTTTTGCCCCTCTAGCACCAGACCCGGAACTGATCCGGCCATCGTTCCTCTTCTCAACGCAAAGGTTGCAGTGAATTTTAGCGCCCTAAATCAAGGGTAAATTTGGTATTACATTAGTCTCTCCTGCTCTCTCCTCCCATTTCCTTCTATTTCCTCCCATTTTTTGGGAGGATTACAAAAGTTACTCTTAAGTCTATTTCTATCCCTCCAAAACCCTCCATTTATCTTTCCTTTCCTTCCAACTTTCAATACCAAACACATTTTTTTATCACTCTCCATAACGTTTCTTTTCTTTTCCTCCTATTTCTACTCTACCAAACTGAGCCTTAGGATTATTCCCATTGTACTCATTTTGTTTATACCAATAAAAATCCACATTCAAGAAAAAAAATAAAAAAAATAATAAAAAGATAAAAGAAGCGAAAGAGAGACTACGTGTGTCTTCGACCCAGTGTCGGTTTCTCTCAGAAAAAAAAAATATGAAAATGGTACTCTAGCTTTAAAGCAATAGTTTCACTGCTAATATATATATATATATATATAACAGAGGTATATTTTATCTCATACCTCTTTTAATAATGAATTTATGAGGAGTCACGTAAACTCAACATTAATAATTATTAAGAGACTTACAAACAAGATTTTTCAAATAAAAAATTTGAGAGGGCCCCAATGTACTGGTTTCACATTTTATGGTTGGGTTGATTGCCCTGAAAGAAATATATACAATTGATTAAAAAAAAAAAAGTGTATTACAATCGTAGCTTATTAGTACCAAAAAGAAATAGGGGTATATGGAAAGGCTTTACTAGTCATTGTCATACATATGATTTATATATCACAAAAAATGTATGAATGCGGTATATTCGGCATATATTCTGCATATGTTCTTCATTCTGTCTAATTTAACTATCAGATTAAAGTGTAGTCTCTTTCACATTAATGAAACAACAAGTTATAAAATTCTTAATGAATTTGTTGCATTTGCATAAGTTTGCATTCGCTTTATGTATATATATATTTTAGCAACAAATTCCTTTTACTGACTTACTATTAGAGAAATAATAAACCAAAGAAGAAACTGATAAGCACAATTAAAAAGGTAAAAACAAAAGACAATTCATAGTATGTGCAAAATGTTCTTGTACATGAATTTGTTGTGGTAAGACACATTTGTAATTCTCTCACTTTTGTTTTTTCCTCTTGTATAAGTTATTTCCTTGGGTACATGAAATGGCGGCAATGAGAGGTGGGTGGAAAGAGAAAGGGAAGGAAATAAGGGTATTTTTGTCTATTAAAATTTATTTTTTATTATTTCATAAAAATATAAGAGTAATAGGGTCTTACACTTTAGTTAAAGATATTACATCACATTAGTGATGTTACCTTTCTTAACTTATTGGTCTTACCAAGGAAAAAAAAAAAAAAAAAAAAACCTTAATGGTCCATATATATATATATATATATAAAATAAAAATAAAAATAAAAATTGATGAATAAACAAAATCAACATGAAACTGACACTTTAGTTTAAACAAAATAAAGAGAAAAGAAATAATAGGTCAGTAAATGAATTTGTGATTTACCATAAATAAACGAATAACTCTCACTAGTCCAGATTTAAAAATAAAATAAAAAATTGGTAAAATTAAATAGTTTTTCCATAGAACATTTGACGTGTCATAAATAATGAAAAATTTAAAACAAAATTTAGATTATACAGTTTTCAACCACAGCTCATTATGCGATAAGACCAACGTAATTAACTCGGTCAAGAAGTGTCCCACCGGGAATATCATATTGGAATATCATATTATGAATGTTTAGTTTCACACTTGCTGGGAAGCTTCCTCTGTGGATCCCACCAATGGTTCTTTCCACCCCTTTTATCATTTGACCACTTTCCCTTCTCTCTTTCTCGCTTCTCCTTTTTGCTTCTCTCCTCCGTCTTCATCATTGAGCATAACAAGTTCAATCTTCCAGTTCTTGGGGGATTTTGCTTATTACAGGTAACCCTTTTACAATTGAACACCCTTTGTTCTGTTTCTGCTTAATTTGTTGTTAATAAGTGTATGCATCTATGAAAAAAGCTGAAACTGCAAATAGATCTGTAGCCTGATTAAAACTAGCCACTGGGTCTGGTATTTCTGTCTTTCTCTGACAGTTCAAGGATCCAATTTGTTGTAAAAGTTTAAGCTAGTTGGAATTAGCCATGCATAAATTTAAAATTAGTATGGAATGTAAATAAGTATGATTAAATTTGAATTTTTTAATTTAGTAAAACTGAAAACATATATAGAGATGTAATAAAGATCGAAGGTCAAGAAATAACAAAATAAATATTTTTTTGACTTGAGGTCGATCCTTTAATTGGTGGGAAGATCGAAGATGATGTTGGTTAAGTTGAAGAGTGCTTATGGTGTATTGTGGAATCAACTGAGTCTAAAACAATGAATGGAAAATTTTTAAAGCTATATTTGGGAGTATCAAATTGGAATTATAGGAAGTTTAGTTCAAAGCTTCACAAACACAACATAACAGTTATTGCCAAGCCATGCTTTTGGAAGAGAATGTTAGTCAGTTTTAAGAAATAAATTGTCCAAATACGAGCACTATTAAAATGTTTCTGCGGAGATGAAAGTATGTCAAGACAAAGAAGGACAAAAGTAGAAATAAAAATCACATCAATAGGAGATAAAATTAGAGTCTACTAACATGGCTTTGGTAATGTGCAGCAAAAACCTACAGTTATGCTTGTGAGGAATAATTTCTTTTTTGTCAATGGCAATGATAGAGAAAAGAAGACAAAACTAACACGAGTTCATGTAGTAAGGAAGTTATAAGAGTGAGTAGTTTCATTGAAGTTATAATTAACCCTAGAAAGAGCAAGTGGTGAAATATTTTACATGTAGCAGCATATGGTAAATAATTGAGATGAAATTTTGTTGAGTTGAGTTGTTCTAAAACCTTTGTGAAGCTACTTTGAAGCATTTTGTGTCTGGATTTTTGGTTGTGTGTATTCCATTTAACCCTTGCCTGATGTATAGTTCATTAAAGGATGTCCTTTACCATTTTGCTTATGTATTTTGGTTCGCATATGGGATTTAATTGACTTCACTTATTTGACTTAATATTGCTGGTTTATTTTTTTTATTGACACAGTACACAAATGCTGGTTGTGCCTGTACAGATAACATATATCCCTTGTCCATTGATCTCCTAGAGTGTTGTTCATCGGGTGCTATGGGAGCCCAAGAAGCCTCCTCAAGCCGATATTCTTATCACGTATTCTTGAGTTTTAGGGGTGACGACACCCGGAATACCTTTACTGATCACCTTTATACAGCTCTACTACATGCAGGAATACGCACATTTAGGGATGATGATGGATTGGAGAGAGGAAAGAATATTGCCGTAGAACTAAATAAGGCAATCCAAGAGTCGAGGATTTCAATAATAGTCTTCTCAAAAGACTATGCATCTTCAAGATGGTGTCTTGATGAGCTTTTGAATATCCTTGAGCTCAAGAAGACTGTTGGCCATGTAATTCTGCCCGTATTCTACCATGTGGATCCATCCCATGTAAGAAACCAAACAGGGAGTTTTGCAGAGGCATTTGCTATACACGAAGAGCGATTTAAGGCAGAGATAGAAGAAAGAGAAGAGGTGGGGTTGGACAAGATAAAGAGGTGGAAAACAGCTCTAAAAGAAGTTGCGGATATGGCAGGGATGGTTTTAAGAGAAGGGTAATTTCCTTAAAGTGTTAATAATGTTGATTTATACTTTCAAATTATTCATGCCATTAGATGCTAATGTTATCCACTCTCCACATTATTTCTAAATGCTAATGTTTTAAACTAGTTGAAATGTATTGAAACACTATTAATACTATCTATATATTATTTATCAAAATTTTTTATTTTTTATTTTTTATTTTATTTTTTTATTTTTATTTTTTATTTTTTACGTACATACTTTTAGCCAAAGTATTGATAAAATATGAAAGTTTGACCCCACACAAAAATTGATAGAATAGTTCAAGACTTCAAGTAGATGCAAAAGACTTGTTAGAATTCCATGATATATAAATGCAATGTTATATTACTGTCCTATTTCAGAATTTGTGGTATAGTGGTTTCCAAATACTGGATGTTTAAATTTTACTAAGAATCTGAGTTTATCGAATGTGGTATACCACTTATATAGAGATTTGATGATAAGAAGATATCAATTCAAAAGGCTTGAAAAAAGAAGGAAAAAGAAAAGATGCATCGAACATGAAAGGACTAAAACGAACATTTTTAATCATTTTTATTTACAACTCAAGGCGTTTGAAGGTTAAAGTAAATCAACTTTAAGGTGTTTAAAATCACATAATAACACTCCTAAAGAATAGTCAGTAGTTACAAAAATTTTGGAAATAAGTAGATGAAGCCTAAAGAATGGAAATATCATTAAAATTGTGAACAACATGAATCCCTTTTCGTGAACTTGCTTATATGACTTGGAATCTGAATTTTGTGAATGTTCTTGTATTTTCTATTGTTCGCTTTTTGTCATATCTTTAACATAGTATAATGCGTGTTATTCTATCTAGTGTGAATGCTTGTATGAGTCAACATAATGGCCAAAATTGAACACCATGTAATTTGTTGTATTTTATTTTCATAAGCATCATTTGTTGTTTCATTTTAACAGTTGACATTTTAAATGTACTTTTTCCATTTCCATTGCACTTTGTAGGCAAGAGTCAAGTTTTATTCAAAAAATTGTTAAGGAGATTGGGAAAAAATTGAAGCGCACGATCTTGAGTGTTGGTCCATCCCCAATTGGAATAGATTCTCGTGTAAAAGACATTAATTTGTGGATACAATATGAATCGAAGGATGTTGGCATAGCGGCAATCTATGGTATGGGGGGAATCGGGAAGACAACCATCGCCAAAACTGCGTATAACCTTAACTTTGACAAATTTGAAGGTAGCAGCTTCGTTATAGATATTAGAGAAATATCAGAACAACCCAATGGATTGGTTTGCTTACAAAAACGACTTCTTTCAGATATTGTAAAGGGGAGAAAAGTAAAAATTAGTAGTGCTGATGAAGGAATCATTAAGATTAGAGAAGCTATATGCTGTAAAAGAGTTCTGGTTGTTCTTGATGATGTGGATCAATTGAACCAATTAAATGCAATACTCATTATGCGAGATTGGTTTTGTCCAGGAAGTAAAATTATCATAACAACCAGACATGAGCAATTGCTGAAGGCACATGAACTTGATAAGATTTTCAAAGTTAAGGAATTAAACGATGATGAATCGTTTCAACTCTTCTGTTGGCATGCCTTTGGACCAGATCATCCCATTGAAGCTTACTCTGAGAAGTCAAAAATGGTCGTAAAGTACTGTGGAGGGCTTCCTTTAGCTCTTCAAACGTTGGGTTCTTCTCTGTCTGGTAGACCTGTAGATGTGTGGGAAAGTACATTAAAGAAATTGGAAGCTATTCCTAACACTCAGATCCTAAAGAAACTTAAAATAAGCTTTGATTCTCTACAAGATGATCATGACAGAAATTTATTTCTTGACATTGCTTGTTTCTTTGTTAGAAAGGATAAAGATTTCACAATTACAATACTAGATGAGTGTGATTTCTACACAAAAGCTGGGATACAGAATCTCATCGATAGATGTCTCATAACTATCGATGACAACAAGAAGCTGGCAATGCATCAGTTGCTTCGGGACATGGGGAGAGAAATCATACGCCAAGAATCACCGAAGGAACCTGGGAAACGCAGCAGATTGTGGCATCACAAGGACGCATTTAGTGTATTAAATGAAAAAACTGTAAGAAATATGCTTCTCATGATGTCTACTTGAATACTTTTTAGTTGTTATGCTTACTTTTTTAAGTATCTTACCAGGGAACAGATTCCATTGAAGGTCTCATCCTTAACTTGAATGTGTCTGGGGAAGATAGGTCCACCGAGGAATTCGTTGGTTTAGATAATGCAAAAAGACACTATTCAGAAGACTTTCTTGACAAATCAGCATTATTATTGGAGAACAATTCATTGAAGCGGCGTCGTCTAGGGTTCTTCTCTTGGCTCCCCATAAATTCTGCCTCAACAAGATCGCATTCCACATCAGATGAAGTAGATTTGCAAACTGATGCATTTTCAAGGATGCACAGATTAAGAATACTCCAGCTGAATAATACGAGGCTCACTGGAGACTATGAAGAATTCCCTAGGAAGTTAAGATGGTTGTGTTGGCGTGGGTTCCCTTTAGAATCTATACCCAGTGGCTTTCCTCTGGAGAGTCTTGTTGCCCTTGACATGCGCAATAGTAGCTTGAGACATGTTTGGAATGGAAACAAGGTCTCATACTAACTTTTTTCCTCCTCTTATTTTCATTGGTGATTAATATAAATATTCATATAAATTAATTTTCAAATGGGCTGTTGCGTGGTGCATTGATAAAATGCTTGGTTTGTCAAGTGTGTTATACTAATATTTTCTACCTTTTTAAACAGTTGCTCAGATTGTTGAAAATCCTCAATCTCAGTCATTCCCATGGTCTTACCAATACGCCTGACTTCTCACAAGCCCCCAATCTTGAAAGGTTGATTCTTAAAAATTGCATAAATTTGATTGAGATTCATGGATCAATTGGGGATTTAGGGAGACTAGTTCTGTTGAATCTAAAAGGTTGCAAAAATCTTCGGAAGCTTCCATCGAAAATTGGCGGGCTAAAATGTCTTGAAGTACTCATTCTATCTCGTTGTTTAAAGCTCGAGAAGTTGCCAGAAGAGCTGGGCAAGATGGAGTGTTTGAAAATGCTCCTTGCAGACAGAGTTGGCACAAATCAATCACCCTCCATGACTACTGGGGTAAGATCATGGCCGTCACACTTCAGGGATTGTCTATTGGGACCAAGAAGAAGACCAGAATCGATCAGCTTTTCATTGTGTTCTTTACCACACTCATTATCAGTCTTGAGTCTTGCTGGCTGCAACCTATCAGATGATGCTATTCCAAAGGATCTTGGCTGCCTATCCCTGTTGCAGAACTTGGATCTAAGTAGAAATCTAATCTGTAGCATACCAGAGAGCATCAAGTGTCTCACTATGCTCCACAGGCTCAAGCTAAACGACTGCCCAAAACTCCAGTTGCTTCCGGAGCTTCCAATGAGTTTAAGGTCGTTGGAGTTACTCAAGTGCAGGTCATTGGAAGTGATAACAAATCTACCAAACCTGTTGAATTCACTGCATTTGTTGACATGGTTTTGTGACAAACTAAGTGAGGTTCAGGGGTTGTTCAAGTTAGAACCCATTGGAAACTTTGATGTAGTGATGATCAGCAATTTGGGTTTGACCAACTTGGAATTCCTGAGAAATATTGAAGTTTCTTTGTTCAACATTATGACGGTAACTGAAAGAAAAGTTCCCCTCCAGGTGAGTTGTCTCTCTCCCTCTCTCTCACACACACACACACTCATCAAATGAGTTAAAAATTGTGGTTTACATGCTGTAGGGACTGTATGAATTGGGTATATTTAGCACTTTTCTGCCTGGTAATGAAGTTCCTGGCTGGTTCAGCATTAAGAGCAAGGAATCTTCAATATGTTTTAAGGTACCTTCAAATGCTAATTTCAAGATCCAAGGCTTGAATGTATGTGTTGTTTATGCACAAACTGATGGACATTCTGGTAATCCGGAGGATAATGTTTGGACTAAGTTGTGCATGATTGAATTGAGTAATAGGACAAAGGATCTGAAGTGTATATATTGCCCAACATTCATGGGCGTTCCAGATGAAGGGAACGAGATAGTATGGTTAAGCCATTGGAGTTTTGTGAATCAATTAGTGGAAGCTGGTGATGAATTGAATGTTCAAGTGTTTTTCGGTGCGCTAAAATATGGAAGCTGTCGGCGTTTTAAGCTAAAGGAGTTTGGAATCCATGTTGTGTTTGAGGAAGAAGAGAAGGGTACCCCATGCCACACCTTTCCTTCCTATCAAACTGTTGATTTGTCAGTGTGTCAGGTGAGGGCGCGTGCCTACTTCCTCTGCCATCATCATTTTTTCTGGGCACGAGCAGAAGATTACCTCGGTACGTGTCTGCGCTATCTCCAATTCACGGCAATAGGTCACTCTAAACTTTATTTGAATAGAATTTTTCCAATGTAATTAAAAATTAAGATTTTGTTATATCTTTTTTTATTTTAAGTATTCCCGTTACTTAAAATTTTATCTTATTTTAAATGACTTTTATCTTTTAAAGTAATCATTTGCATTATTTATACACACTCTTGACCCTTTAAATCGGCAAAATCTTCCGATCCAAATTTGGCTAGGTGCGGGCGTGCCATAACCATTTGACTTGGTTCAGATCTTGTCAATTTGAGTCTCTTTTAGAGAGAGTATAAATCAGCCAGTGTGTGAAAGTGTTCTTAAAAACAGGAACGAATTTCAATTAAAATAGAAAGAGAAACTGAAATTATTAATTCGTCACAAATTAACAATTTAACATCAAGTTGAACTTGGTGTCAAAACTTTATTACATTAATTCATTCATTTATTAATCTAATCTAGGATTCCAACAGAACTTACGTAGTCATCATTGTAGCTTCCAAACAAAAAAAAATCCATCATATAATTTGTTGTTATAATTTTTTATTTTAATTTTTATTATTATTAGATTTCTTAATTCATTTGGGCACCACCTAAAAACTCAGAAGAATTTAACTCTATACAATTCAGCTCCAAACAACATTTTAAAAAACGAAGTTGAAAATAGTGCTTTACTAAAACATCAAGAGAAATAAATGAATCATTTGAGGTTCAGTGGATTCAATTCCAATGAGAAGTCAAGGCCAAACAACTATATCATAAATTGATATCAACACATAGTTAGGATCAAACAACTATATCAATTTTGATCGTATTAATGAATTGGATGGACTCGTACAATCTTGCAAGTCCTTGTCACAGGTTATTAAAACTCGATCACCATTTGTATATTTGATTTTATAAATTTCAACATTTAACTTCAACCTCAGGGACACCGGACACTGTCTCTTCCAACTCCACCAAGGTAATTAAACTTCATCATATCATGATCACCACTAAAAAATAATTCAAATAACTTACAATTACAAACATGTGATTAAATGAAGAAACTCTAGTATAAAAAACTAGGGTTAGCATATACAAACATTATTTCAAAAGCTACATTGTGTTGTTTTATTATTAATAATTAAAATATAAGTGACAAATCATAACGTGGTGTCTAAATATGGGTCATCTAAGAATTTTATTTAAATAAAGATAATATATAATCTTAATTTCTTGTAAGAATTTGAAATAAATAATATTTTGTGTAATTAGAAGAAATCCTGACTAACGAAGTTATCAATCAATTTATTTTTTTGTACTTTAAATTAATAAAATACACATTTCGTAATTTTAGGAAAAACTAGAAAGAAAGAATATTTCTATGTTTAAAAATTGTTGCTCCATGAACATCTCGCGATGCCAATTGAATATATGAGCGATGACAAATGATGGAATAGCGTTGGCATGTTCGAAATTTCAATATTATTATTTTTAAAAAATTACTATTTGTACTTTATAGATTCATTAGAGGCCGTAGAGGTTGGTATTCAAAAACCACCCCGTTAAAAAAAATAAAAATAAAAAAAAAAAATTCATATAACATACAATTACAAACATGTGTATTAAATGAAGAAATCCTTGTATAAGAAAATTGGGTTAGCTTATGCAAGTACTATCTCATAAAGTTTCATTGTGTTGTTTAATTATTAATAATTAAAATATAAGTGAAATATTATAATGTGGTGTATAAATATGGGTCCTCTAATATTTTTCTTTAAATAAAGAGAATAGATAATCTTAATTTCTTTTTGTTGGGGAATAAATTCACGCGGTCTGGTACGGGCACTGTTTTCCTGCAAAGAAGAGAGTAGAAGATCGATGAATCTTGACAACACCGGTGTGGTGCCTGTCAAGAGCTCTTCGACGATCAAGTCAATCACCGGAGATATAAAAGAAATGCATGAATTTAATAATCATTTTTTGTCATACTTGATTGACTGGTAGGATCTCATTGTTATAGCCGTTCTCCCTCAGTTTGTTTGCGAGATCAGAGGAGATCCGTTTGTTGCCAGATTTGTTAGGAATATGATTTGTTGGTGATATGATTTACCCCTTTGACTTTCAAATTGTGACAAGGTTATCCTTACCCTGTTGAACCACGTTATCTTATCTTCCCTTATCCTTGATAACGAGATATTATCATTCTTATGTAATAGAAATATCATCATTTGAAAGTCGAAGAGATCTGGCGGCTGGTCAACACCTAGTTGCCTCTATTGTTAGGTTAAGATAGGTTATGTTTATTTTTCCTATCAGTTGTTCCCCATTCCCAAGCTTGTTCGTCTAGATTTGGGAATGTAAAATTTATTTATTCACCTTCGGGTACTGTTCCCGCGGTTTTTTTGTTTTTTTGGGTACCTTTAGGCACTCTTCCCTTGGATAATGTTTCCTTGGGTACTCTTCCCTTGGGTACTCTTCCATTGCGTAATCTTCCCTTGGGTACTATTCCCGCGGGTACGTTTTTTTTTTTTTTTGGTACCCTTGGGCACTCTTCCTTGGGTAATTTTCCCTTGGGTACTCTTGCATTGGGCGATCTTCCCTTAAGTACTATTCCCAATGGTGGAATTAATACAGATACCAAATCAAGATTCTGTTTTAGAAGGGCATGTGTTCAAACCCATGGTCAATGACTCTTAGTGACGTAAAACTGGATTTTTCTTTTGAAAATCCAAAATACTATTTGTAAACTTTATTGATTTTAATTAGCCCATCCCTTTTGCAAGGGAACAAATTTTACGAGCTTCACTCAGCTCGTCGTCCCTTTAATAAAGGAATTTGTTTTTACGAGCTTCACTCAGCTCGTTCCTTTAGTAAGAGAATTAATTTTTAAGAGTTTCACTCAACTCATCCATTTAGTAAGGAAATTAGGTTTTACGAGCTTCACTTAGCTCGTCCCTTTAGTAAGAGAATTTGGTTTTACGAGATTCACTCAACTCGTCCCTTTAGTAAAGGAATTATTTTTTACGAGTTTCACTCAGCTCGTTCTTTTTCATGAGCTTTACTCGCTTAATCCATTAAGTAAAGGAGCTTGGTTTTTTGTTAGCTTTCTGTAAAGCATTAATTATCACATAAGTAGGTAACTGAAAACACAATATTTTATTGCCTAAAAAATGAGGGTCATCTATCTCATTGGTGATGGTGACTTTATTGGAAAACAAAATAACACATAAAAGAGCTATCCTCTATTTAAAATGATTAACTGAGATGCCCCCAGTCTTTATTTTGAATGACTTGATAAGGCTAATTCCAGCTATGAGACAATTTTTATCACGCTAGCCTTCTGAGTCGAGTTGGATTCTCCCAGGTCTACTTATCTAGAGATGATACTGATTTCCCCAATTGATTGCTGCCCCAGAATGCGCTTATTAGGGTTTGTCCCTTCATTGGCAACGAACTTTTGTAAGTAACTCATTTGAATCAGATTCTCAATTTGATTCTTAAGGTCAAAACAATCATCCGTAGTGTGCCCATGATCCCGATGGAACCTGCAATACTTATCTCGAGATCTTTTCGCTGGATCAGACTTCATCCTCTGTGGCCATTTCAATGACGCATCGTCTTGGATCTGTAAGAAAATATGGACAATTGACATATTCAGCGGAGTGTAGTCGGTATACTTATCTGAGTCCTTCTCACGATATGTTCTATCGCTTTGGCTAAAGAATAATCTCTTATATTTGGTATCTTTTTCATCCCTGGCGAGAGGGACTGACCTCTTCTTATCCTCTTTTTCCTTTCCCTTCCGTGCATTTATGGCATTTTCAGCGTTCATGTGTTTCTACGCTCTGATCAACAACTCTGCCATGCTGGTGGGAGGTTCTTTTGATAAGGAAAACAAGAATATGGAGGTTTGGAGTCCTCATATGAAAGCGGTCAAAGCCACCTTATCATCCACCTCTTCTACCTGCAACATTTCTGTGTTGAATCGGGTGATGTATTCCCAAATCGACTCTCATTTCTGTTGTTTCACAGTAAGCAGGTAGGTGGCCGGCCTCTTATGCCTCTGACCTAAAATGAAGTGGCTCACAAACTGCTTACTCAGTTCAGCTTGTTGAACCAAACTCTTGCCGATCCCTTAAGTGTTGTGGGAAAAGCTAGGCACATGACTACATCTAGCATGGCGTGTAAATGCATAAGAGCTTGAAAGGTCTCTAGGTGATCAAATGAATATTTGGTACCATCGAAGCTTTCAAACAAGGGCATCCTGAATTTTCTAGGCAGGGGGCATTTTATAACGGCAGGGCTGAACAACAAGTTAGTCATTTGCACTATATTATCT